GGGGTGCGCGGCGCGCCTCCAGAAGGCGCCGGCGGCCAGCAGCGGCGCCAGCGCCTCGGCCAGCCAGGCGCGCTGCGCGTCGGGCAGCCGCGCCGCGAACGCCTCCAGCCCGCGCAGGCTGCCGGTGGCGACGCGGACGCGCCGCTGCTCGCGCTCCTCCGCGTCCTCCGCCCTGCGCGCCAGTCCGAGTCTCGCTCACCGTGCCGACCGCCGACCGCCGACCGCCGACCGGCGTCCGTGCCACGCGGCGCCGCTGCTCACTTCGTGTCGGCCGCCGCGTCTCCCAGGAGGTCCTCCAGCAGGTGCGCCGCCACCTCCGCTTTGCAGAAGGCGAGGGCCTCGGGCAGCTTGCTCTCGGGAAAAGTGCTCTGCAAAGGCGCGAGGCGTCAGCGCCGCGGCGGCCGGGCGGCGGCGGCCATTGGCTTTTGGCGGCTGACCTCGAGCGAGGCGCGCGCTTTGGCGGCGGCGGGCGCGTGCTCGTCGTGCTGCGCCTGCAGCCACGCGGGCAGCAGCCGCTTGAGCTGCGGCGCCGCGCGGCGCCCGGCGGCGCCCATGAAGTGCCCGTGGCACGCCTGCAATATACGCGTAACGTGCGCATGATGTCGAAGTCCAAGTCGAATAATCTTTATCTCATTACACAATATTTAGTTTAAACGTCTTAGCTCGAGAATGCCTGAAATAGCTAAACGGGTCCCTACCGCTGCTTTTGTCAAACGAGTACCCAGAAGTTGTATAATAACTTAGTGTAAAGTTTTTGCTTCACAATTGTTTTAAATCACGTAAATGACAAATTTTGAATATCAATCGGAATCTTATTGTAGAAGCGTATACATTGCCGCTTAAATGGATTTAAGACTTTATGAAGACGACTGTCAAGAACGGCTACTTTATTTTTATTCCTCGTATTAATGTTATGTCTGTCATTATTCTTCATAAAAAGAATAATTTTTTTTCTTAACATTAATAACGTTTTCATGAATAGACTGTGACATTAGTGTGAGAATGTTAATCTCTTTAAGCTTATATCTCAAAGATACTCTGAGGCTCAGGTTGTAAATTACCCTAACCGCACGTTTCTGCAGGACAAAGATTCTATTAATATCGGCGGCATTCCTCGAAGCAAAATACCGTACGTCATTAAAATGTGAAAGTAGCTAAAGTAAACCAACTAGCTGTTTTGACATCTAAAAGTTTTCGTTTTTTATTACCGCGTACACTAATAATAATGCATACACTCAACATAGCCCCGCACTAGGAAAACCCTGTGTCGCGGGTGCCATGGACACACACATAGATAACCACAAATTACACCTAAACTCACGAGTTAAATAAATTTAGGCCATACAAATATTTCTCCCGGCCCGGGAATCGAACTTGGGACCTCTGCGTGCCAGTCCGGCATGGTAACCGTTCGGCCACTGAAGCAGTTAAATACCATGGAGCTCTACTAATAATATACTTCAACAAAGTCAAAGTCAAATAATCATTTATTTCATAGGTATAATGTTTACACTTGAAAACGCCAAAGATCAAGATGAACAGGATGATAAGATCAAACTGCCTATTACACTGCAGTGTTGAGCCGTTTTAAATAACTTATTTATATGTGGACCCCGTTGCAATTTAGCATCTAAAGTAATACCTAGAAATACAACTGTATCTACAAGGTTCAATTTTTCGTTTCTAACTATAATGTTTGAATCCGTCTCTCTAACGCGGTAGGTAATGTAAATTTCACACAATTTGTTTTTTTCTCATTAAGGAACAAGTTATTAACTGCAAACCAATTGACTACTTTAGATATAGCATTGTTCACATAGTCATAGGAACATTGGTGCCGTTAACTTTAAATAATAAGGAAGTATCATTAGCACACAATACTATCACACGTTCTATACTCTCCACGACGCTAGGTAAATCATTAATATAAACTAAAAACAAAAATGGACCGAGAATTGAACCTTGAGGGACGCCAATATTAATTGCAGACCCTGATGATCTCGTACCGTTGACATCGACTCTCTGTAACTTCCCACTCAAACACGATTTAAGAAGGTCGAGATCACGACCTGCCACACCATAACGGCGAAGTTTCCAGATTAGAGTATCATGGTGCACACAAACACAAAAGCCTTGGAAGGGTCACATAATGCATCAATAAATAGTATCATGTGAGTCTTCCTATTCATCAAATATATGTTTCATCAACTCCATACCAGCATCGGTTGTAGAGCGCCCCCGAGTAAAACCAAATTGTTTAGGAGACATTAAATTATTAATGTAAAAATGTGCACACATCTGATTTTCAATATATTTTTTTTTCATACATTTGACTGAGAGCTGGTGGCACTAAAATAGGTCAAAGATTGGTGGGGTCTGAATTACTACCAGATTTAAAAAGTGGGATAGCTTTGCTTTTCTTCATGAGGTCAGGAAACACACAATTATCAACACATACGTTAAAAAGCAAAAGCTAAGCAAGGTGAAATACAATCAAGTACAGAATTAATTACTTTGACGGAAGACCATCAAGATCAGCAGTATTTTTGATGTCTATCGACTCAAAGGCTTGAACAATGTCGTTTGTCGACGAACTCCAATATTTTAGTTTAGTAAGGATTCAGCGGCAGTGGGAGACGAATTTAACGACTTAGTAGTCAAAAATAAACTTGCACTACAACTACAAACAACACTAGCTTTTTCTAAACGACTTAAAAAATAAAGTTTTTTTGTATATATGTTACGCGACAACTTTGCGAACCGCTTTTGACGATTCTTTCATTGTTGGAAAGGGAGTACCTTAGCATTGGTTCCCTTTAAATTTGAAGGAAATATTCCACCTCTAAGGGTGACAAACTAAGGGTGAATCCGGTTTCGCCCACTTTCCGGTAACCGATTTCAATAAAATTTGGCAAATGATGTAAGTAATTCCACGAACTTTTGAGGTTGGTTTTTTATTATAATTTTTTTAAATTATTTTTTATAATATCAAGTGACGGAACGAACAAGCAGTGCGCCTGATGTTAAGATACAGGCCTGTCCATAACAGTTGCAGTGCCACTCAGAGCTTTAAATCGCAAAGATCGCTGCCACTGCCCCCATCACCCTGAGACATAAGTTGACAAGTCCCATGTTCAATCATGTCCAATTTCACCAGGACCCCGATTCAGAACTCTTCGATATATTAACCGAATCGTTCGACTGGATATCGTTTTCGCATCGAAGGGCGCTTTCCGAGCTGTTCAGAACATTCGAGTTAAAACGTTCGATTCGGATTCAGATACGATATCGTTATGCAACAACGTTCACGGAGTTAGTCGGCGAATATAGATTATAAGAAAAATGAAATCCTTTTATATACATTTTTGAGACTTTAAAGGCCTAAAATTAATAAAATTGAACAAAATCCAGTTTTTATTCAAAATAATAAAAGATTTCCATATTACATTCTTGCTTTGTAAACAACAGGACGTTCGGTAGCTTTTATTCGATAACTGTGTTCTGAATAACGTTTGTGGCCTACGGGTGTGACGTCATTTCGGTTCGGTTTCGAATACGACAATTTGACGTTCGATTCGATTATTGTGAATAAAATTGAAAATAAATCGTACGATATCTAATCAAATCAGTCGATAACAAAGTTATCGTAAGGTTTTGAGTCGACCTGCAGCACACTTACCCTTCAAAACCGGAACACAGTATCCCACATATATAGATACATGTATAGATATAGGTACAAGGAGCCACATAGCGTTATATATCCCATATTATATTAAGATTATTAAGAATATTTATACGGTATACTGACCTGTGTTGCTTCTCGGACTTTCTTGTCTACATCAACAGTAAGCACCTTGTACATATGTGCCCAACTGGGCAGTGCTGCAACCACGTCATCCACTTTGCTGTTCTTAATTAACTCACTTAACTCTTGTAATGCCTGAACATGACCAACAGAAGTTTAAAATAATCATTATTACCTATAATGGATAAACAAATTACACTCGATAATATGAAATTAGTCAAATAGTACCACTAATTTTCTTTCTTTAAAATTAACTCATGTTTACATACAACTTTACCTGATTTTAATTTTGACTATGGTTCTATTTGTCTAAAACATGCCTATTTACTCTAGTGTCAAGGTTATTTAAATACTCTACATTGTATTTTTCGAGGAACATCGATGCCAGTAGTTTGTCCCATTTCCTTGCCGTGGACATTAGGAAGGAGGACGCAGAGCACTTTGTGGGGATTGACTTGCCGATACTGGTATATCAATGACGTAAGGATGGAGTGTTCTGGGTATTCTATAAAGTTGACTAAAGGAGAAACGGTGTAATTGGAGCTACATTTAAAAAGTTCTTTTCACGCTCTCCAAAAGTATGCGATATAAAATTGACAAGCAGGTCATTTTCATGCAGTATCGAGCTATTTAAAATTGGAAATTGTCCATACATGGTCGAGATTGTGCTTTATAAAGTTTTAAAGCCGTCCAGTTAATTAATTCATAATGCAGATTTCCCTGAGAAGAAAGTGTTAGGAAACAGTAGGGGTAGCTCTTTGTAAATAGACATTTGTACACATCTATGTATTATAACAATTACTTCAAAATACGATAAAATAATCTCAGAGTCATCATTAAAAATCTAGCTAACCTTGGTTCTAGTGATGGGATCCTTTTTATTGAGTTTCTTGAAGCATAGTGAAAATTCTGTTGTGAGCCTAGCGTCAGAGAGAGGCGAGGCTGCGAGAGTGGGGAAGAGCGCGATTGGCTTGCCAGTGGGGCCCGTGAACGGTGTTGCACTTGTGCTCCCTGCACCACTTAGCAGCTCCGCGCTACGTCCACTGCTCGACGGCTGCATCAACAAATATACAATCCACAGTCACATATTAATTTACATTTCTCGAGATTGATTGTGATACCGCACGGTATCACAATCAAACAAACTAGTAAGTACTTTAGACAAAATTTTACAGGATAGCCCAAAGGCACAAGTCAAAAAAGTAATAATATAATTATGGTAGGGTACCTATCAATTAATATATTCGTGTCATATGATAAAATATTGTAAACAAAACATTTTAAAATAAGGCGTTATATCATCTGAAGCTAAATCCGAAATACTTATGGAAATTTTCTAAAGGCCGTAAATCTAATGTGTCCACCATACCCCATGAAATGTTTTTGGGGTAATTCCTCTGTAACGGGTGGTCAAAGAATATGTAATATTTTCTTGAAACACTTTCAATCCATTTACAGTACTTGTAATCAGCCAATCATTCTAAGTAAGTTCACCCTCTTTCCAACAGAAAATAATCATCAAAATCGGTTCACAATTCGAAGTAATGGCGTAACACACCTACACATAAAAAATGCATTCGAATTGAGAGCCTCCTCCTTTTTTGAAGTCGGTTAAAAGGACGTTTCACTTTTATAATTTGTATTTTTAACTTGTAGTACTAGAAGATTACGAAATCAATTAGATTTTAAATGCATCTGAAGTAGAAGATGCAGACGATGTTGAGGATCTCATATAGGAAGAACCTGATATCGACGATTTGAGAGACGACGGAGAAGAAAGTGATACAACCAGCAGTGAGCTAGAAATTGAGTACACCCGGCCCCCTACACGCAAAGTTTTATTAAGTTTCATAAACACTTGTTTAGATAGAGGTTGATGTTTCTATTATGTTTTTTAGATTGTTTGTTTTTTGGTCAAAATTAACTTAATAAATATGACGACTATTAAAACTTTTAAAAACAAGTGAATTTATGTTACTGACTGATTGATATCAATGATAATTTGACAAATAACTAACATGTAAAATCCTTGAGTCTCTAGATCTCAATAGTATTTAGATATTTTGAGTAAAATCCTTGTGATATTACTTCGAAGTGCCTTTTGATGTTTAAATATACATTGTTTTTTTTTTATGGTTATTGATTCAATTAGTTTTCTTAAGAATTGCTACATTATTTATGTACTCTCTCGTGAAATATTTACCTTGTAAGACTGAAAAATACAACTGTTTTCTACTAAAATAGATATTTTAATTCTATTTGTTTGTGATTATATTAAGACCGGGTGTACTTTAGAAAGAACAAATATATGGGCATTTTAATTTTGTGAATAATTTTCCTTTCACACTTGTAAAAAACTTTTGTTCCAGAAAAAAATGTATGGAACAGTTAAAAGTAGTTCAAATTGGACCCCAATGTTCAGGACTCACAGGTAATACAAATTTTGTGCTATGTAAAGAACATTCGGTCATAACGACACATGCTTTTTTTTAACCCAGGCCTCAGGACACCTATCCATGACGGTTGCAGTGCCACTTAGAGCTTTTAATTGTAAAGATTTTAGTGGCACTGCCACTGTGCCCGTCACCCTGACACATAAGTTGACAAGCCCCATGTGCCTGTAATTTACCCTTTAACCTTCCAAACCGAAACGCGTAGTAATGCTCACATTACTTGGTGGCAGAAATAGGTAACTAACATATTTTATACCCTTTACTAACTACCTAACTTTAAGAATTTATGTTCATAAGAAAAGTTGCTGTAGTATCCAAAATTAAAACACATTATGAGTAATCGCTTGGTATTTGATTTAGTTATTGCATTAGAAAATTTGATTTTCTTCAGCAATTTTTTGTTTATAATGTCAAACGACGGGTGAACAAGTCGTGCCCTTGATGGCAAGCTTCACGCCTGTCCATAATAGTTGCAGTGCCACTCAGAGTTTTAAATCGCAAAGATTTGAGAGGCACTGCCGCTGTACCTGCAATTTCACTAGCACCCTTACCCCTAAAAATCCGAACAGAGTAATGCTGACATTACTGCTTGGCGGTAGAAATAGATGGCAGTACTCCCTGGACTAACACTTTCATAAGGAGCTCTACTGCTACTAATTAAATTAACAAAACGACTAAGGGTCGTATTCCAGAACTCTACTCAAAGCTCAAGTCGGGACTTGAGTATTGCAGTGAACACTGAAAATCATACTCAAGTCCTTGCCATTAGGGTCGTATTTCCAGTGCAATCCTGACTTGAGCATTGAGTAGAGTTCTAGAATACGACCCTGAGATAGTCAGTATCAGTAAAGACAATTATTCACTAATTGCTAATTGAAAGACCTAGTAAGGCATTTCGAGTTCTTAGGTTTTCGCAATTGTTACACAGGAAACGAAACTATTTTTTCGGATCTGAATCGCGTATCGAAATGTTCGTTTGTTTGAAAAAACAAATGCTTTTGCAACAAACGAAGATTTCGAGTTCTTCACAGATCCCATGGTCACAAGTAACTAGGCTAGTCACCTATGATTATGGGACCTGTAAAGGGCTCATAACGTTGGTTTGTTTGAAAAATCAAATATATGCGATTTAGATTCGAAAAAATTGTTTCATTACTTAGTAGGTATATATTTATAGTTATATATATTTTAAAACTTAGCATGCATCAAATACTTGCTATGTTTCAAATTGGTTAAAGTGACTTAAAAGAATTTTGGCTTATTTTTGGAATCACAAACTATGTGTGCGTTACTAAGTTTTATTTATTGTATTTACTGATAAATTGTAGCATTTTGAAACGACTATCACCGTCATTAGATGAGTACTTACTATGGGAGTAGTATTCTGGTAAAAAAATATTTAAAACCAAACTTTAGGTTTTGCCATGGAGCAGCCTGAGTGAGTGGCTTGACACGCGTTTACTGAACTTCATCTGATCTTAATTATAGGGGCTTTTTTTAAATCTAGTTTTAAGAGGCCTGAAACGTTCGGGCGTTTAAGTCGGCCTTGTAATGTATGTTTACATATAAATAACTGTCCTACTTTATCTGTCACTACTCCCATGAGAGGTATAGCTCCTCATCAGAAAGCAAGACCTCACATAGAAGTATAGAGCTTCAGCGCCCTTCATCAATGGGTTGCTCAGCATTACATTTAGCTCTCCTGACTAATGTATTTTAATTGATATTGGGCCCGACAGCCCAGCATGTCGATCACATTCCATTAAATGAAGCATGTATTCCAACTTGTTACAGAATTGGCATTGAGGGGATTTTGCCCTTCTCATGAGATAGTAAAATTTATTTAATGGAATGTCACCAGAATGCAGTCTAAGAGCAATTATTAACTGTAACTTGGATAGATTACCTTCCTCGAACCAGGGCTTTCTTGGTGGACACAACCGGATACTTTTGTACCATATACCCCTTGTCACAGATATCCCATCATAGCTTTTAGCCCATTGATCTATAGTTAGGTCCCTGATTATTATTATTATTAGTGTGGCTTCATTTGGGGCCTATGAGACCCCTCATCACATGATATCTGGAGTCATTCCCAGAACAGGATGTTCCAGAATTGAGTCCTGAGCCGATCTCAATGTCTGGGAGAGCTATCTAGTCCTGGTGGAGAACCTATACATGCTGTTACCGGCCTCCTTCTGTATTAATACATGCAGGGGAGTCAGATTCAGCAATGCATTTAGGGCCGCTCCAGGTTTAGTGGCCATGGCTCCCGTTGTTAGCAGGCACGCGACACACTGTAGACTGCCCAATGTGACAATAGTGGTTGTTTGACTGACTTTGCCACTCCAAAAAACAGGCGTATATGTTACTATGGGCCTCACAATTGCCTTGTATAACTAGAGAGTCATCTTTGGTTTAATAAATGTCTATTATATTCTATTCTATTCTATTCTAATACCTCAATAACCAGCTGTCCTGCTATATGACTACAGATACCTAAGGCCATCTTGGCCTTGTTGACCGTGTTAGCTATATGACAGTTCCACCTTAGGGTTTGATCTAGGGTCATCCCTAAATATTTAACTTCTGCAGAAAAATTCACAGCCCTGCCACCAAGAATCGGTTCCACTAGCTTGTCTAGTTTCCACTTCCTAGTGAAAGGAACAATAGTTGTCTTTTCCGCATTAATAGATAATTCATTGTCTTGACACCACGTGGAAATGGTGTCAAGAGCTCCTTGCATAAGTGATGATATAGTACTTTGGCAGTGCCCTCGAACTGTGATCATTAGGTCATCCACATATCCCTGGGCATCAATGTTCAGTTCGGCCAACCTATACAGGAGCTGATCCACAGCAAGAGTCCAAAGGAGAGGGGAAATTACTCCACCTTGCGGGCAACCCCTTCTTGTGGAGGCCACAAGCCGGTCCCCATGCAACGAGATACTGGCTCTGCGGCTTAAGAGCATATTTTGCACCCATCTCGCAGTAGAAGTGTCTACACCTTTGCAGGTTAGTCCCTTTACCAGAGTACGAATGGGCGTATTGTCAACAGCACCCTCTATGTCTAGAAAGGCACATAGTGATAAATGTTTGTACTCAAACACTCTTTCAGCCCTGTCCACAAGATGGAGCAGAGAGTGAGAGAGTTAGGTCCCTTACAAACGGGATAAGTTCTGTGGTAAAGGGTATACCTGATGGAAACCATTGAAGTATTATGTTTATATTATTGGACAATAGGTTAGCCATTAATTATAATGCCTCATATGCTATTGGTATGCCTCAACCTCCAAAGGCACATTGAACCAAGTGATAAAGTGCACTTGTAGAGTCAGTGAGAATAACGATTTTGTTTGCATCCACAGAACTAACAAAGGATAATGCTTCCACTATGGCAAGTCACTCTGCTCTCATTATACATGCTTCATTTCAATGATACATTTTGTTACAGGTCATGAAAGGTTGCGCCAACACCATTGATGTCCTTGGAACCATCAGTAAAAATCCTACAGTAGCCACTGTATTCAACAGTTCAAAAATTATTTACACAATGATTTAAATTCATTGTGTTACATTGTCTCTTGGGAGTGGTCAAGTTGTACTTATTTACATCTATGTATGACATCCAAATTTCCATATAAAACAATTCTAATTGTTATTTTTGTATACGTCTCTAATTTTTAAATTGTTACATGCTTCAGTTAAAGCTGGTTTTGTCCTATTATTCCAGTAACTATTTCTGTTACATTCTGCAGTAAGATCTTGAAAGCTTTGGACACTTACTTTATTAGTGAGAGATTCCGTGGATAACCAATATTTATATGCCAACCAATATCTACACACAGCCAAAGGTGGTATGGCTAACTCACATTCCATTAGATGTATCGGTGTAGTCCTAATGAAATCCCCACAGATACGTAAGGCTCTATTTTGTAAGAGGTCTACTTTACTTTTATACACACCGCAAAGTAGACATGCCAACGGTATGTAAGGGGTTATTTTTAAAATACAAATCTGTATCAAAAATATACTTTGTAACATGAAGGACGTCGCCTTCGAAAGAATTTAGGATATTGTATGAGAATCGCTCTCGCAAACATTGCACCATTGGCGCAATAGATACAAAACAAAACTTACCCGAACGTTGTTTTTCGTTCTCTGACTTTGTTTTATTTTTCCACCCATTTTCACGTTATGCAATTTACTTGTTTCTGATCAGCAATACAGAATTGCACATTTGTAACTAAATTGTGGTCAAAACAAGATCTATTTCTTGTAATTTTAATCCAAATAACACTTATTGCAATATTTTTCGTCTGGTCTGACGTATGTCATCTGCATGTCAGTCGAGTCGGGGATCGGGTTGCCAATGCCAATTGTTCAAAATCCCCTAAAATCACGGTTAAAATTCCCAAATTTGGGGAGAACAAAGTTCATATTCCCCACAAATACCCGATACATTAATACATCTCGAGTTCTCATTATGTATTACAAATATATCACTTAAAAATAATTATAATGAAGAATTAAGAAACTCAAAATGTAACCATCAATTACATTTGATGTGAATGTAAATGGAATGTAAAATGTAAAGCAAATTATAAAATTAGATGACATTTTATCGTTTATTTATTTTAATGAGATTCAATATTATACAAAGTATGAAAAAAAAATTTTTCTTTGCCTTACAAAATTAAGTAACTTAATTATTTTGTTGCGCATTTGGTGACACTGTGGTTAATGTTACAAAAAATCAATAAGTAATTTAAGTTTCGACCTATATTTAATATTTAAAGTTGATGAGTGCCGAGTGGTAAGTTGTGGAAGTACCAACTGCTCGGCTTTGTTTATCAATAGCTGATTTCATTTTTCTTCATACTGGGGACGGGCCTAAGTGGGAGAAAGGATCGCGAATTCAACACGCACCGACTGGTAATTTTATAAGGGTAATATTTAACCGCTTCACGAAAAAGCAAGTTTTTCACAACCAAATATGCCACTTCCCCAACAAAAATACAGATTGCACATCAAAATATGTACAATGAAAAGAAAATTAATTTAACATTATGTACTAAAATTAATGCATAACATTTTATCGCAATGCAAATCTAACAAATAAATCTAAATACATAGGTATCTAATATTTCTGGCATATAATAAACGCATGACCACAAATTTATGAGAAAAAACATACCTATTTCACTGAAAGGTGCATCAGTCTATCGGAACAAAACATCATTTTATATGACATAATGGTCTAATTGTACAATTTTTCAAATTTCCAAACAATAAGATCAACAAAAAAAATCAAAATTGCACACAAACATTGCAACAAAGTCTAATGCTTGAAAGTCGTAGTATTTTTGATGTATTTGCAAGTAAAGGTTCAATTTAGTTCCAATATTATGAATTGCTTACAAGAAAATCAGCTCCAAATATAATATTTGTTGTAAGTTGTTAAACGAAGATAATTTATGAAGCAAGTTTTGAGAAAAAATGCGGTAATTTTGTTAAAATAATTGTTATTTCGTTTAGAGTTAATTTAAATTGATGTGCAGTCAGTATTTTTGTTATGTAAACCATATTTTAGTAAATAAACGAACAATTTCGTTGTGCACTGGGAAATTGGCAGAGGTCTAGTTTTATTACATGTTTTTAAATTATTTTTGCTACTAGTTTTGTTAGACAGTTGTTCTATTTGTAGTGAAATATTTTTTTTAGATGTGCAAGTTATTTGAATAATTAATATAATTTTATATGTATTGAGTTTTCTGATATGCACTTAAATATTTCCTCTAGAATTATCTGATAATAATTCTATTTAAGCTGCTTGTTAATAATGCGAGAGATGTGCAATGTTGAAAAACACATCGATGTAGGTCATCACAGTGTTTCTAACAATAACGATCAAACTAGCGATGCATCGATAGATGCAAGCAATCGATAGAGTAAACAAAATCATAAAATGTTAGTATCCCCACATTTTCCCCACATAGCGCCTATCCCCACATAATCCCCAATTTAATTGGAATTCCCAATTTGGGGATTTCCCCACAAATTGGCAACTCTGCTGGGGAACCAGGGGAAATAGAGATGTCAATGAATATACAAACTGATTTACTCAGCATGCTGGTCGACAAGGTCCTTATTATTTAACATGTACTAGTGTGCTACTAAAGACATTTGACGTCATTCTATTTAATAATAATCTTGGTTTTCATAATCCTTAGAGGATGGAAATAGTCAAGCTTGATACTTTATACTTTGGACCGTTCTTATCGTAAGCGGCATAGATTTGGATTCAAATCTTAAGTGTCCAGCTTGACGTGCTCCTGACCCTGTACTAAATATGCTTCTATCTGACTTTAAAGATATTTAACGTCATTTCATTTAATAATATTCGATGTTACTCCTTTGGCAGTGCCAACTATAGCAGATAATATTATGTAGGTACTGTAACTGGGGCGTAGCTTGGGATGCGTAGCGACAGGTACTTTTATGAATATAAACTGGAATAGGAATAATCTTCAAAACTTGGTTTATTGTACTTTTTCACATAATTTCAGCGTTGGGTTACATTTCGTAAAATATCAAGATGTTCTCTTCTTTTCTTATTTCATTTTTCAAAACATTCTAATTGCAAAACTATATTCATTCAGCCAGTGATTCTACTCATAGAGTAGAACCTAGACTACATCCCTCTTCCTCACAGCTGAAGGGGTGAACATCCCTAGCTGGTGCTCTACCTATGATAGGCAACTTACATCAGTGATCAGCCTTTACACACTGCTCGGAAGCTATTATCTTACCAACAAGTAAACCACTGAGGAGGCTATGGCTTTAGTCTGCCAAAAACCTATCTAAAAGGAGAGACCATGACCACATCCTAATCAAACAAATCAATATATAATTACTCGCTATCCTAGCTAATTAGGGAACCTGACTAAACCCTAACAATTTATTTCAGCGACCCTAGCCTGGCTGAATGGTCCTAACAAAATTTCTAAACATCACTACTGAAACTTCCTAACTGTTTCCCTAAATTGTCTTCAACGTGCATGCTGCCACAACGACGACACAGGCTTGAGCATCCATCGGATGTTCACTGGGTTACATCAATATTGATCTCCCAGCTGCCTCAGTCCTCATCCTGCAGCTATCCACGTTCCGTCAGCTTTTCTCACTTTCTTTAAACAAACAAGAACAAACAAAGTCAAAGTCAAAGTCAAAGATTATTTATTCCATAGGTAAAATAAATTTACACTTGAAATCGTCACATTTAAGCTACTGCTCGTTCGCTACGCTGACCTCCCTGAGAAGAACGAGCAAGAAACTATAGGGATTGCTCTTTTCAAATAAACTTAAATGCTATGGAATACACTTTGAATCAAATTTGTGTGGATTCTGGAGCCATGTCGTCTTTCCGAAAATCTTTATCTAACACGTAGTCTTCAATTTTGTAATATGATTTTTCGATCAAAATATTTTTAACGTAGTTTTTAAATTTAGGAAATGATAAACTTAATATATGCTACGGAGTCTTATTGTAAAAACGTATACAGTTCCCCATAAAAGAGTTGTTTACCTTGGTTAAACGAAATCGTGGTACCATGAGTTTGGACTTAGCTCTAAGGTTAATGTTATGGATATCTTCTTTCTTATTGAAATTATGTATATTTTTACGAGCATATAAAATATTTGAGTAAATGTACTGTGATGCCACAGTCATGATACCAGTCTCCTTAAACTTTTCTCTGAGAGAAACCCGAGAGCCTAGACGGTACACAGAACGAATCGCTCGTTTTTGCAATACAAATATGGTTTGAATATCTGCCGCTTTACCCCACATGAGAATCCCGTAGAACATAATACTATGGAAGTAACTAAAGTAAACTAGTCTAGCAGTACTAACATCGGTAAGCTCACGTATTCTACGGACTGCGTATGCAGCGGAGCTTAACCTGCTGGCCAGGGAAGATATATGTGGAAACCATTGAAGTTTACTATCTAAGGTCACTCCCAATAACCACACACATATAACCCTAATAACATATCCTAACATACATA